CAGGCCTGGCTTTTAACTCTTTCACCCGCTATATGAGTAAATGAAAACACAATACTTACATTTCAATGTGAATTCCCCCACAGAACTCACCCGCAGTGTTCTTTGAATATAAACACCATCGTCATCTGCGCGCAAGTGATTCTGGGATATGGTAGGGTGCTTAGACACGCGGACCGTTAAAAAGGCCTATCCGACCCACGCTGAACTCAAGTTTGTTAAAATGAGCGTGCGCTTTTTCAAGCTGAGATATTTGCTTGTCTTACCTGTCTGAAGAAACCGTACCGCGCTGAACTCAAGTTTGTTTAAATGAGCATGCGCTGTTTTTCAAACCGAGATATTTGCTTGTCTTAGTCTTACCTGACTGATTGAAGAAACTGTAGATAACGTAAGTAGATTGTTTTGGCTACTGTTATCAATGGTTTGTGAGTCTTGTAATGATTTGGATCTTTTTGAAGCGTGTTATCTAATGTTTTATGTTTAATGGGATCTCCTCGCTGATTAGGCTACAGATATAAAAGTGGGAAATTTGAATAATATTTTTAACATTTAGTAGGCTCTAAAAATATATAACTTTTAATTAAGTGAACTTTAAACAATCTTCACAAACTATAATAAATTGTATTTTATAGTTTTGGCATAATTGTGTGTTTTTGTCGGTTGAAGAGCTACTAGCGCACTGAAGCGGCTCAACGAATGCGAACAGCTGAACGCGCAGCCTTTCAAACTGTAGTCCATCTGATAATCATCTTCGTTCAGTGTCTGCGCTATTTCTCACCAGATGTTATGACATAACACTGTCTTTATACTCGTTTAAACTTAGAGTTGTGGATATCTCATAACCCCCTCACACAAGCGCTTGTCAACGCTGCCGTCTATTGATGTTGCGGTCTCCAGCAGGTTGTTGTTGTTGCATCTCTTCCTTTTCTTTTTCGGCTGTAAAACAACGGCCCCGGCCAGTGATGCCACCTTGTGGACAAACTAATTAGTGCAAAACAATTCAAGGCGTATGTGCGACCTGCGTGTACTCTTCCCTCGGGCCGGATGAAGATGATTGGCGGGCCGGATTGGGCCAATTGAATAGCCCTGCTCTATGGGATTCAGAGCTGGGGAGTTGCCTGACCACGGATCCAAAATTTCAGTGTAATGATCTTCGAGCCACTTCTTTATCACTCTTGCTTTGTGACATGGTGCTCCATCATGCTGGAAAATGCACGGATCATCAACAAATTGCTCATGGATCGTTGGAAGTAGTCGCTCTTGCAGGACGTTTTGATACCATTATGATAGTGATTTCACCTGACTAGTACTCATTCACACTTTCAAATGTGCTGCTGATATGATTAGTCAATTAATGTTAGCTGGTTATTTTGTGTCAGGATAAAAAAACTGTGATCTTTTTTGTGTGTGTGTGTGTGTGTGAAAAGTTAATTTTTTGGCCAATGAAGCTTTTAGCAATTATTTAAAGTGCATCTGATCACTCTACACAATAATATAGAAACAATGTGAATGAACACCACAACAGTTTAAGCAGCAAACTTTGCAAAACACAAAATTTATGTCACTGCCAAAACTTTTGGCCATGACTGTATGTAGCCTGCTAAAGACCACAACTAATCAGTGATTAATTTATTTATAACGAATTTAAAAGAAACTAAATTAAATGGCTAGTTGGGCACAAGAGACACTGCAGATTACTGAGAATGACCTGATACTTCAGTTCTGAGCTTACAATTGATCAAATTCACTCTTTAACACTGTTTTGAAATAGGAAATGATTGTCAAGTATATGAAATCCAAGGTAAGTTGTTAATATATTATCTCATGTTCTTAAAGATTCTCTTGACAAATGTATGTGTTAAAAATATTTATACATAGTTAGTAGTAGGAGTCTGTTTCTCCATATTTCTCCACGCCTTTCCTGCAATGTTTACATTTTTCAGGAGGGCCTCCCAAGCATTAATTGTGGAGAGGGGTCTGCAGTGAAAGGCGGGGCCAGTTGCATCCCCCGAACGACGACCCTGTTTCCCTGTCTAGCTTAAAAATTTGCCAACTGCAGAATCCATCACTTAATAGTCTTTGACAAAGGGAACGTGCTATTTTCTTCAACACCATGATTCTTCAATTTATATATGACAGCTTTGATTTTAAAAGCTGGATCATTTTAAGTTTTGTTTTACTGCTTCTTGTAGATATCATCAAATATAGGAATCCTTCCAGTTTCCCCCCAGGACCCTGGCCTCTACCATTCCTGGGAAATGTTTTCACTGAGATAGATTTTAGGACCGTGAATAAGGTAGGAGGAATTTGCATAATTTGTTTAATTGCATGCCAATTAATGTTCTTTTTAGACAGTATTGTTTCTTGATTAAAAACAGTCAGTGGATATGTTATCAGGTTGTCTGTATACCTGTTAATATTTTGAATTTCAGTTGGCTGAAGTCTATGGGACCATATTCAGCTTAAGAGTGGGCAGTGAGAAAATGATAATTGTTTCTGGATATAAAATGGTAAAGGAGGCTCTCATTACTCATATTGACAGTTTTATTGAGCGTCCAAATGTCCCTCTATTTCACAAAGTTTTTAAGGGAATTGGTAAGTACCTTTATTCTTACAGATATGACAGCTTTGATTTTAAAAGCTGGATCATTTTAAGTTTTGTTTTACTGCTTCTTGTAGATATCATCAAATATAGGAATCCTTCCAGTTTCCCCCCAGGACCCTGGCCTCTACCATTCCTGGGAAATGTCTTCACTGAGATAGATTTTAGGACCGTGAATAAGGTAGGAGGAATTTGCATAATTTGTTTAATTGCACGCCAATTAATGTTCTTTTTAGACAGTATTGTTTCTTGATTAAAAACAGTCAGTGGATATGTTATCAGGTTGTCTGTATACCTGTTAATATTTTGAATTTCAGTTGGCTGAAGTCTATGGGACCATATTCAGCTTAAGAGTGGGCAGTGAGAAAATGATAATTGTTTCTGGATATAAAATGGTAAAGGAGGCTCTCATTACTCATATTGACAGTTTTATTGAGCGTCCAAATGTCCCTCTATTTCACAAAGTTTTTAAGGGAATTGGTAAGTACCTTTATTCTTACAGTTAAGGTTTATTATTCTCTCTAATAGTACCCATTTAGTTATTGAAATTCTTTCATTCATTCATATTATGAAGGTACGATACTGAGTAATGGTTACCTGTGGCGGATGCATAGGAAGTTCCCTTAAAAACTTTGTGAAACAGATGGACATTTGGACGCTCAACAAAACTGTCATTCTGAGTAATGAGGGCCTCCTTTACCATTTTATATCCGGATATGATTACTATTTTCTCACTGCCCACTCTTAAGCTGAACACCTTCCCATAGACTTCAGCCAACTGAAATGAAAATATTTATTTTACTTTATTCACTCAATAATCTGAAATCATCTCTAAAATGGATGTAAAGTGACAGACCTGCAAATTAAAACCATATGAATTTAGCTCCTACCTTATCCATGGTCCTAAAATCCATTTGAGTGAAGATAGGTCCCAGGAATGGCGAGCCCGGTCTCATGAAAATGCGTATAAATAGTATGCCACCTAAACCTACCCATCAAATATACACGCCAAAGTCCATTTTTGCGTATCAATACCACGAGTTTTCATTTTTATTTTGTGTACTATTTATACGCACTTTCATGAGATCGGGTTGGAATGGCAGAGGCCAGGGTCTTGGGGGGAAATTGGAAGGATTTTTGTTTTTGATAATATCAACAAGGAGCAGAAATACAAAAAAATTACCCAGCTTTTAAAATCAAAGCTGTCATAGATCAAGTGCAGGATCATGGTGGCAGAGGAAATGACAGGTTCCCTTTGTCTTATTGGAACTCTGGTGCTTATTGGTATAAGAAATTTTGTATAGAACTGGGAAATGTAAATACTGGAGGGGAGGAGTACAGAGATATTACATATTACATAAGGCACTCCGGATTCCACTAAGGTGGAGAAGAGAACCCTATGGAAACACATTTATCAAAAGTAAAATTTTGAAGATAAGAACAAGTTATTACAAACACGTAATAACACGTCTTTTTACTTTTTTTCTGTGCTTTCATATACTTTGGTACATTTTAATTTGTACAATAATTGCAAGCTCATTACAGAGTACAAGGGTGAATTATTAACTTGAACCTAAGTAACATGCATGACTATTGCAATGATGCTGCATTTTGAAAACAGAGATATTTATTGTGACAAATGGTTTGCCCAGTTGTGATTTATTTACATAAACATGAAAAGAACACAGCAAATCATACACAGTATACAACTTTTATTAATACATTAGATATGCATGTTGTAATATATGACACATTTGTACATCAGAACAAATACTGTAGGTATTAGTATTAAAACACTGAAGATAAACCACCACCGTGTAGCCTACTTAACGGTAACATAAAGAATGAATACTTACACAATAGATATTCTATCATAGCAGATATATGTAATAATAATGTATGTGTATCCTCTAACGTGAGGACACACACATATCTCTCCCTCCAAACTGGGTTCCTCTCCTGGATATTTGGTGACGGTGAATTGCTGCAGCAGAGAGGTGAAGAAGAGGAAGATCACCTGACGAGCCAGCTGCTCTCCCAAACACGGTCGCTTACCTGTGAGCAGATGCCATCAGATGAAGTTAAAATCATAATGTGGCACAGACAAATATCATTTACTCACCCAAAGTCAATAAAAAGGATTAAACACAGGCATATCACTTTTTGAGAAGTCATCAGATGGTATGTTTGCACATTACCTGCTGAAAATGGCAGGAAAGCATCTCTTTTCCGAAACTGGCCATTTTCATTCAGGAAGTATCCTGGGTTAAAGGTGTTTGGGGTTTCCCATTCGTTTGGATCATGCAGGACTGAAGACAGGTTTACTGTAATAGAGGTCCCCTAATAAAGAGAGAATGAAAACTTCACTATTCTAGACAGGACCCCTTCCCTAAATAGAATAGAATAGAATTCATATAGGAATGAAGTATTCCCCTAGTTTTGTGTCTTTAACAGCTTTTTTAGGGAATCCCAGTGGAACAACATCTCCAAATCTTTGAATCTCATGGATAACAGCCTCAGTGTAGGGCATATCAACTCTGTCAGCCAAACAGGGTTGACGTGACTGTCCAATAACCCTGTCTATCTCTGCCTGCACCTTTTCTGAATGGGAAATATAATATTACTTATATAGTGTGTATTTTATATAAGTTTATTCATGGAAAGCTCCTGGACCTGATGCATTTCCAAGCTAACTTAAAGATGACATATAACCTATGCTTCAAAAGAATAAAAATGATTATTCCTGCTTTGGAACTCAATACTTACCTTGGATTTCTGGGAACTTCATCATAAAAAGCAGACCCCAGTGTAATGTCGTAGTTGTGGTTTCTGTCCCGGCCTCAATCAGGTCTAGACAAGTCACCACTAATCCTTCAATGTTAAAACCAGCCTCAGGGTCACTATTTTTCTGCAAAAGTGGGAATCAGTACAAAAATATGCAAAAACTCTCTTATCAAAACAGCATTAGGTTGATCAAATGGCAGTAGCTAAACAAATGCCTAGAAATTTGTATTTTAAAAACATATTAAAATAAAATCCCACTTTAGTTACCTTTTCCATCTCAGTCAGGTAGTTGTCTATAAAAATCACGTCCCACTCATCACGATAGTCAAAGCGTTGTCCAAATATTAAGCAGGAGATGATATTTGAGACAACACTGTTTAAGGTGACCATGGGGTAAAAAGGTCCTGTTTGAGAAAAAAAAAAACATTGTTTATGTTCATGTATAAGTATATATATATTAATTTTTTATCTCCAAATCATTTTTTATTCTATTCATAAAATTCATGAAAATGGAACTCTCCAGACATTTAGACCATACCCTTTTCTGCCCTAAAAGCATTTAAAAGGTGGACACATTCTTGTTGGATTCTGAGCTCAAGGCTTTTCTACCCATCTCCAAATGTCCGCAAATGGGAGACAGCAAACTTTCTTTAATTTGGAGATAAAAATTAATATATATATATATATATATATATATACAGCACTGAGGCTGTTATCCATGAGATTCAAAGATTTGGAGATGTTGTTCCGCTGGGATTCCCTAAAAAATCTGCTAAAGACACAACACTAGGAGGATTCTTCATTCCTAAGGTAGGAGTTCTATTCTATTCTAAAGACTATTAGTCATTGTTGATTGCTGCACAAATCAGTAGTTTTGATTCTTTCTTTTTTAGGGCACCTCTGTTTCAACAAACCTGTCTTCAGTCCTGCATGATCCAAATGAATGGGAGACACCAGACACCTTTAACCCAGGACACTTCCTGAATGAAAATGGCCAGTGTCGGAAAAGAGAAGCTTTTCTGCCTTTTTCAGCAGGTAATGTTTTATAAACATTCACATATAACACCTCAGTGTATGATTTGCTTGTAATTATCTTTTTTTGGACAAGTACAGAAGCACAAAACTAGCACACACATTTGAAATTTATTGTACCTAATTACACTGAAGTGAATTAAAAGGGCAATATGCTTTTAGAAATGAATAAAAACGAATGCAATAATGTATAATTTAATCAGTGACATTTTTTTTCTGACAACAAAAACAATGAATGGTTTTGAAAGAATGAACTCTCAGGCTGTTATATGTGACACCCTGTATGTGTAGTCACAGGAATAATTAGTTTTTTTCCCCATGTGTTTGATTATTTTGTTGTGTTAAATGTGTTTGTGTAATATTGTTTGCTGTTATTATGTTTAATGGTGATGCGTAGTAATCTCAGTGAACAGTAGGGGGAGACGCTGTGCTGATTAAGGACTGTGTGGTTAACGGTGAATCGCGGAGAAGAGGCCAATGGCCATTAAAAGAGCGACTCCATGACTGAAAGCAGCAGAGCTATCCTTGCGTCTCAATGTTCATACTATCCGTCCTAAATAGTATGTGAGATTAGAATAAGTGTGTCCCAAAGCATAGTATGTTGAAAAGAGTATGCCACAAGTCTCCGGATGGTCTAACGCAGTGGTTCCCAAACCTGTCCTGGAGGCCCCCCTGCCCTGCACCTTTTGTATGTCTCCCTTATCTAACACACCTGATTCCACTCATCAGCTCGTTAGTAGAGACTGCAAGAACTAAATTGGGTGTGTCTGATTAGGGAGACATACAAAATGTGCAGGGCAGGGGGTCCTCCAGGACAGGTTTGGGAACCACTGGTCTAACGCTACTATTTCAGGTCGATTTTTGAAGTGTGGATCCGTGCACACTCTAATGGCTAATATTGTTCACAATCCATTGCGGTTTGGTGAAGGATTCTGTCCAGAACTACAAACACGAATAAAAACGCGTTAAAAACATTGCGGATGTGCGTGACCGGCGGTTAGGTAGAGAGGCTTAGAAAAAGGGGTTTGAGTTACTAATATTCAACATTTAACCTGGTAAAAAAAATATTTATTTAATGTTATCTGTGTTATTTCATCTGCAACAGCAATGTAAACTTTACATCCGTTTGGTCTTTAACTTTTAAATGCATCATTATGCATAAAATATGAGCAGAGTTCTC